AAGGTGGGTCTTACGCCCATGTTACCTATGAGTAAATTCATACTCAGCTCTGTCTAGTAATCGGTCCCCAAACACCTAGCTGGTGAGTTGTGGAGCTCAGATTTAAGCCCAGTCCTGTTCAACCTCCCGGTCATGCTCTTTCCACTACAGTACAACAGGAAAAAATGGTTTCATTCCCCAGGACCTCTGTATATCTTTAGCTGTACAAAGAGAGTCATCATTTCCAACAGTGGGCTGAAATCTATGAGACTTGTTTAAAGGTAGCCAATGCATATTACTATTTTTAATATCTCCTGTTGTCTTCCAAATCTTTTAGTCCAANACTAATCTCATGATTATAATTGTCCTTATTCTTGCCCGAAGCTGGCAAAAATAAATGCAAAGTGGACAGAGTAGGTTGTGTTACTTTTAAAACAGTGATTATTAATGTAAAAACAAATGAGAGGTCTTTTATGAGACAAAAGCGTGACTTTTTTTCTTTTTCTTTTTATCTTGGTGGACATACGTCTTAGGGAGTAGGTTAAAAGTTTACCATAATACACTTTGGTTATCTGTTCAATTTCAAACCCAAGATCGATAAGTCTTATCGGAACATTTTTATGACTTCAGGGAGGTTATCACTATCTTAATACCGTGATGAAGACAAAAGCCAGACTTCAGGAGAGGTCAGAACTGACTTTGTCCAATGCTCAAGGTCAACATATTCACAGATGTCAAAGTGTCTGAAGGGAGAGATGATAATCATTGACCCTGAAACCTGCTGGGGCTTGCAGGCAGCTGCAAAGGAGATAAGGAGCTTTTTGTCGAGATAGCAAATACATGCTTGAACACATACTTTCTTATTTCTCTTTTTTTTAGAAAAGAGGAAATGCCAAAGCCAGGTCTCAGTTAACCATGATTCTCCTGGATGGAGACAGAGCAGATCACTGAGGTCCTCCTTTCCTGCAGCCATCTTCTCCAGAATTATAATTCAGAGTCCTTGACAGATATTAGCTCTATATTCTTTC